CATTATTTTATTTTATTTTTATTCAAAATATCTCTCTTTAAATTACTTTCTCTTCCACGCGCATCATAAAAAACACAACACATCTCATAATCTTATTAGTGAGAGACAATTAAAGAGTCAACCAGACATGCACAATCTGAAGCATAATAACCGAGAAGTCAAAGAAGGCATGTGAGTTCACATCAGGAGCAGTTCCTCCTCCTCCTCCTCTCATAAATTCTCAAATGGAATTACTTGGACGAGATAAAGGGGACAAACCCAGCCCCAAAGCTCTCCCAGTTGAGAAATCCAACGATTCATGCCGACGGAGACAGGCGACAGAAAACAAGGAAATGGGCTTCTCATGCATGTCCCTAATCCCAAATCTCAGACAACCAACAGGCACATCGACAACACCTGTTGCAGAAAACAAGAACACCCAACCCCCACACAGCAGGCACACGCCAAGCAGTATAATAAATGCCTCCAGTTAAAGTTATAATTTTTATCATCTCCAGATGAAAGCTTGCAAACATACCACATTATTCTTATATATTTTGGTGTTAAATATATAAATATATGAGAATGATGCGGTATGCATGTCATTTGTTTACTTTGTTATATGGGTGGTGGTAATGCATAACTAGTGGCCACCAAGTTTGATTAGGCAGAATATTAATGTCAATGAAGCACAAGAACATGCAGGAATTAATATAAAATTTTTCCTGCTGGTATAAAGAAAGTACAAATAATAAATTAGTTGGGTACTGTGGAATCAAATCATGGCGTAAAAAATGCAGAAAGTGAAAAGATTCATTAGAGATATGCACAGCTATATACTCTTTTTCACTCCTAAAAGAAAAATTGTAATATAGTTCATGACATCTTATGTTCTTAGATGTAAGAAAAGCATTAATGTGTAATAAGGTGATGGGATTAATACTATTTATTTGATGGGTTAGTTGTTATATGGGATTAATACTTTACCTTTTTTCAATATAAAGTAAATTCTTTTTATGTTCATGATATTAAACATAAATACTCCAAATGGTATGTTATCTACAAAATATAAATATTTTAAGTGCATTTTTCAAATATTCAAAACTATAAGTAACAAAATAGATTGAGGAGAAAAAGCTTAAGAGAGAGAGAGAGAGAGATTTATGAAAACTAGAGAGGGAGAGAACATCATGAAACTAAACACAGACATTTATGAATTTCATAAAAGAAAAAAAAATATTATAAGGTGGTTGAGAATATTGACGTTAGAGGGAGAAATATTATATTTGAATGATCGGACATGCATACGACAGCGTAGATTTGTTTGTACAATAACGTGCTGTGATCCACGTCATCCTCCAGACATTCGATCAACACACGTAATATTTGTTATATTTGAATGATCGGACATGCGGACGACAGCGTGGATTTGCTTGTACAATAACGTGCTGTGATCCACGCCATCCTCCAGACATTCGATCAACACACGTAATATTTTCTTCCAAATGAGTGCTTCATGCGTGCATTCAAATGCAAGATTAATATTTGTTTGGTTAAGCAAAATTAGAATCTTTTGATGGACAAACACAAAGTAGAGAGAAATGGTTACAAAAAAAAAAGCAACTCAAATAAAAATGTAAATGAACACACAGATACATGCATACATACATGCATACATACATACATACATACATACATACATATAAATAAATAAATAATCTGTCAAAACAAACGCACAACAAATAGTCAACAAACTACCCTGAAAACTGAAGAAACTATATGAAAAACCATATATATATAATTTTTTTCTGAAAATGAAAATATATATTTCAGTTTATAAAATAACACAACAAGAAGAAAATAAAATAAAATAAAAAATAATAATAACAAAAAAAAAAGAAACAATCCAATCACTCCATCTTCATTCTCCTTCGTAATTTTGCCTTACCTATGACCAAGCAGACACTGCATACAGAGGCTTACCTTTCCATCCCAAGAACAAAGACCCCTTCATCATCTCCACCCTGTATCCCTCCGACGGATAATGCAGCCGAAGAAGCAACCTGGCTTGAGCCAAAGCGAAACCACTCAATGGCTTCACAACAAACCCTGCATCCTTCATCAATCCTTCCCATCTCTCAAACCTCTCATGCCTCTCTCTCCTCCCTTCTCCTTCCCCTGCAACAATATCCTCTATCTCCCTCCCAATCCACATCCTCTCCACCACCATCCTCTCCCTGCTCGAAGGTGGCAACGTCGCTTCCAATGACTCGAACACCGCCGAGTAATAGCCCAACGCCTCCGCGAACCTCTGCAAGAACAGGGGAGAGCTGTGTTTGGCCTCCTTCTCCGCCACCGTCACCACCGCCGGATTCATTCCTTTCACTGCTTGCAAGAATTGTTTGAGCTCGTGAAAGCCGTCATCTTTAATCAGTTTGTGAAGAAACAAGGCACAGTTGACGGCGAGGATTTCCCCGCGGTTTGTTGGGAAGGAGAAGGATGTCGTTTGGGAAATGCAGATCGGGTGGAAATGGAAACAGAGGCCTAGAGAATCGGCGAAGGATTGAAGGCGGCGGCCGGTTTGAAAGAGGAGGGAGAGATCGGTTCCAGTGGCGGTGATTTGAATGGAGGGAGGATTGGGGAAGTGAGAGCGGTCGGCAATGGCTTGGAGGAGGAGAGGCCATTGGAGGCCATGACCGGTGTCAAAATCGAGGATGTGGAGGGAGGGGCGGTTGTTCGCGGCTTCTAGGATGGCTTGGTTGGCGGTGAGGTGGGAGAAGCGGAGGAATGGGGTAAGTTGGTTGAATGAGAGGCTGGAATGGGAGGGATCGTGGGGGGAGGGAGGGAGGAAGCGGAGTCGGAGGGAGAGGGCGCGGGTGAAGTGGTGGGTGAGGCGGTCAGCGGCGTCACCGGTGGGGGAGGAGGTGGTGGTGAGGATGGAGATGGCGTGACGGGCGGCGATGAAGTCGGCTCGGTGGATGAGCTCGGCGCAACGTAATAGGAGGCATTGGGATTGAGCAGGCCGGGGGTGGAGGAGGAGATGGTGGTGGTGGTGATGGTGTTGTTGGTGGTTGTGTTCTTCTTCATGGGTGGTGAATGATGTGAGCATTTGGTCAAGTGGAGGTGGAGAAATGGTTAGCATGAGGAGAAGGTATGTGAGAAGTTAGCTTTAGGAGGTTCTTCACATTTCTCATGTGTTGAAGGAATAGTCAAGCATGCATGACGTACGTAGTAGCTTAATTAACATGATCTGCAAAAATAATACAGGGTGAGTATCTATATGAAGAAACCCGGAGGTGTAAGAGAAACAAATAAATCTGGGTGGTTTTTCTATTTCAGTACAGCAGATTGGAGAAAGATGAAGAAAGTAAAGATCAGTACTTTATATATATGCTTCTTGTTCTTTTGCATTTGTCTTACTTATACGTATTTGTGAATGGGATTACAAATTTTATATGCAAGGGAAAGGTAGGGATAAGTAGGCAATATTTCTGAGAAGTGGACAGAACAAAAATATCCTATGCTATTTAGATGAAGATCGTGATATCTCTAACTCAGTGGAGTGTTCAGAAAACTCTTCCTCATTCATGCTATCTGACTGAGTATATTCTTATTTATGACAACCCTAAGTATCCATATATATATATATATGCATATATATATATAGCTTTATTGCCATAATAAGGTATCTCTCTTCCTCCCTCTCTCTCTCTCTCCAGTAGCTCAGAAAAAAGAAAATTTTGTTAACATCATTGGACTGAGCCACTGAGGGCAGAAGATCATATATAGCAAGGGATTCAAGAGATAATAGTATTAAGGCATGAAGCCATGCTAATTACATGTATGCTCTCAAAAGTGAATCAGACATGTAAGTGATCAGGCTAGGAATCTTTGTACAACTTATAATAAAAGAAGAAGAATGTATTAAATTAATATAAAGATAAGACATGTATAAAAGGCAGATTTCTTAGCTCTTGTTCAATGAGCATTCAATAGGATCCCTTGCTTGTTATACTGCCTAAGATATGCTACTTATTATTGCCTTTATTTTCTTCTTTGAAACCAAAACATAAAAACATGATCTTCTCTGAGCTCTTCACTGAACTGTAATTAATGCATAGAAATAGTAGATCTCTCTCTCTCTTTCTGTCTCTCTGTCTCTGTCTCTCTCTCTCTCAAGGGGAATAATTTTCAGGATTTTGTGGGCTCTGAAAAAATTGTGTTTCAGCTCTTTATTTCAACTTCCAACAACCTAACAAGAAGTGATCTCCTCATAAAAATAGAAAATAACATTAATGAACTCCTAGCATTTAAGACTGCAACCACACAAATATCAGAAATAAAAGCATCATGAACTCGTAGATAAAGCGAGTTAATATTGAAAATATCAATATATAACAAACAAATAAATTAAGCATCATGATAAGAATAAGGGAAGAACATTAAGATTCTCTTTACTAACTCTGATCTCTTCCAATCTCTGATCTCCTCTTGTTCTTAATCCAACTCTGTCTTCACCACAATGTTTCTAGCTACATGAAGAAGCGACAGAGAAGAGAAAAAAAAAGGAGGCTTTTATGAGTTTAGGAAGTGTGCAAAAAGAATGATAGATAATGTACATGTGGGAGAAGCTTCGGGGGAACAGCATTGAGTGGAGTTGAAGGCAGAAAAAGGGAAGATACTCATGAATAATAAGCGGATCAGGGCCCCAAAAACCAATATCATATGTAGGCTGGCTAACTTAAATAGGATAAATAACTAGAGGGCATATTTATAAATAAAATTATTATTATATTACTTTATAGTTTTATTTATGTTTACAACGGTCGAATCAACTGTTCAGAAATATTGATTCATTGCGCCAGTGAACTACACTGCAATGTGAAAGATGAACCCTACATCTTTTGAGGTTTGACTTCTGGTGAAAAGTAGAAGTGTGAATGATGAAAAATTAAGCATGGTTGGCAGGGTTAAGGTTGCAAACAAATTGCCTGAAATATCAATAAATCTAAAGATATGAGGATGGCTTTTGGTTGTGTTTGGAGTTAGATTTACATATATACCATTCAATTCTTACGTATTTATATATCTAATACAAAAAATTATTTTTTTTACATTTATAACCATTATTTTAACTTATAAAAAGTGAAATACACACCATCATTTTAACTTGCATATATACCACTCAATTACAATTTCTCCTCATATATATATATATATA